TTTTTTTTTTTTTTTTTTTTTTTTTTTTTTTTTTTTTTTTTTTTTTTTTTTCGGTGGGTGTACACAGTCAAAAAAGACGATTTGCAATATAGAGAAAATCATGAGATCTGTGTTCCATGAAGGAAAGCGATGTTGGCCCTAAGTTTGCTGATCGTCACCTCGTTCAGCACCGCGGAGGCGAGCTTGTTCGCCAACGTCACGGGGGACATCATTTTGGGCGGTCTCTTTCCGATTCACAGGAAGGGCTCGGGCTCGAAGCCCTGCGGCAAAATACAGGTAAACATTTCCACCGGCTGCGGGATTATTTCGAAAATAATTCTCGGAGGCATTGTTTCATTTTTCATTGCGGTCACTTGAAAACAAAAAAAAAAAGAAACAGAGAGAGAGAGAGAGAGAGAGAAAAGTTGCGGTGAATGAAAAATAAAGCCCGGTGGGACAATGAAAGAGAACAAGGGGAGGAAAAGACAAAGAAAAAAGAAAAAATTTCAAGTTCCATTGCAGCGAGACAACATTGGTTTTCATTTTTCATTAACATTTCATATTCACGTGTATATATATGCATTGGCAGTTAATGTGTGCTTGACCGCAGATGGAGGACGGAATCCAGCCGCTGGAAGCGATGCTGTACGCGGTAGGACAAATAAACGGCAATCCTGATATTTTGCCTGGGGTACGGCTGGGCGTGCTGGCGTACGATTCCTGCGATAACCCAAGTTACGCCCTCGAACAGACTCTTAATTTTGTCAAAGGTAGGCAAGCACGTACTCACAGTACATATATACATTGTCCCTTTATCACCAGCTTTCTAAAATATACTCTGTTGTTTTTTTTTTTTTTTTTTTGTTTTTTTTTTGTGGAATTTGATTAAAAAATCTAGAGCTTTGACTTTCGGAGGGAACGTAATCATGTTGTGTCAGGAGGCTCGTCTGGAAAATTCAGACGTATAAACAAATTGAGAGGGAAATATGGGCCCGTTTTCCAGCGCAAACCAACACAAAAAACCCCTTTGGTCGTCAAATCCGATCACGTACTTTTGTCGTTGCGCCGAGCAATGAATTAACTTGTTCCGCGTACATGATCCCTAAGGGGGAAACCGAGAGGAGGTCCTTGATGAAAGGAAAAACAAAAAAAAAAAAAAAAGAAGAGGTGGGTATTACCTCCTGCTAGTGGGCCCATTTTTTCTAATAACGGTAGTATCGGGTGAATGAAAAAAATGGTCGGGGTCGCGGAGCGGAGAGGACGAAAGGAAAAGAAAAAGGAACGCGGTGCATGGACAACGAGAAGAAGGGGGATGGGGGTGAAAAAAAAAAAATTGCAGCACGGTACGGGTATTAGCTCATTTTTTGCGGCGAAGCGACGAGTGTTGTGCGCAGGGGCGCGAGCAACGTGTGTATATACAGTTGGGGAGGGAGGGATGCGTGTCGGGGGCCGCGAGCGCCTTCAGTCCGCGTTGCGTCGCCGGTCCATGACATACCTCTCCACCGTCGAGTCCCTGTCACTGACAGCCGGGTACTTTATACTTGTATCCTTTTTTTTTTCTTTTCCATTTTCGATGACAGGAACAGCTGACCTTTTTTTCGTTTCTGGAAAAACGAGGAAGTGAAATGAGGCGACGGAGGGCAAATTCGTGGTAGTGATTTACGGGGATTGTAGCTGAACCGAGTCAAAATGGAATTCATTGATTCCATTTGTTTTGGAGCTTCGACAATTGCACCAGAGTTCAGATTTCATAAGAATCGAGATTTTCCATCGAGATCGTTGTTTTCGAAAATAATTGCTCACAGGTGAGTTTGAGCGTGCATTTTTCCAATTTATTCTGTTGACGTTTGGCCATTCGTTGGACCGATCGCCGTGATTATACGTTAAAATTGTACGTTCAAAGTTGTGCCTGAAAGCATTTCAATTGCAAGTTAACGAGAGGCCAAATTTTACAACGTATGACAAAATTTCAATTTTGCACCCGAGCAGATTAGCCCTGGCATCGATATTTTTCAAAAGTAATCATAAAACTGTACGAGCTTTGTCGATTAACTCTGATGTCACGCACTCCTAGGTAAAAAATGTAAAACTTTTGACGCGCTCGACAACCTAAAATCGACTTTGGCGACAGATGTCAATTTTATTCGTAGCGCAAATACGGGCACGATGGGAACTTTGCGGAAAATTTGACAGCTCCTCTCATCGGATTAGCTATATTTAATTTTTTTTTTTTTTTTTTTTTTTTTTTTTTTTTTTTTTTTTNACATTTCATATTCACGTGTATATATATGCATTGGCAGTTAATGTGTGCTTGACCGCAGATGGAGGACGGAATCCAGCCGCTGGAAGCGATGCTGTACGCGGTAGGACAAATAAACGGCAATCCTGATATTTTGCCTGGGGTACGGCTGGGCGTGCTGGCGTACGATTCCTGCGATAACCCAAGTTACGCCCTCGAACAGACTCTTAATTTTGTCAAAGGTAGGCAAGCACGTACTCACAGTACATATATACATTGTCCCTTTATCACCAGCTTTCTAAAATATACTCTGTTGTTTTTTTTTTTTTTTTTTTGTTTCAACTACGCAGGTGAACTAAGTAAAAATGGAAATTTTTTTTTCACGCTGCTTGTATCATTCACTAATTTTTTCAAAATTTGACCGACTACGGAATGAGAAAATAGTAGTTTTCCTACGAGTTTGAAAAGTCTCTGTTTGCGAACCGAGACGTTTGCGGCCCGAGCCGAAGGCGAGGGACGTAACGAGGTTCGTAAAGGAGACTTTTCGAACGAGTTCCGGAAAACTGCTTTTTCGCCCGAGGAAGTACCAGGCTCCCAAAACCACCCGAGGGCGGAAAAATATATTTCTAAGAAAACACGCGACAATCCAATGTCCCTGAGGTATACTTATGATTTTCCTTATCTCGACAATGTCATTGTTGGAACGAGTAAGAAGCAAAAAAACGAAAATTTGACTTTAAATTCGCGATTGTTCGGTGAAATGGTTAATCTTCTTTTTGGACGAGCAAACGCGCATAAAAACTCTCCATCTCCTTATCGGACGAGCAAACGAGGAGCAATCGAGGAATCCCCGAGAGTTGGCCAAACAACCCCCAAACTAGACCGACGGTAGTTAACATCAGTGGCAATGTAATACACCGCAAACTTCGAAACAACACGAATGAATTTCCCGGCACACCTGTACATTCACCCACATCGTGTTGTTAAAGCAACCATCGTATATATACATGTACGTATATCTGTGCAGGTTTCATAGCTCACGTAAACGAGCACCATAAGCCAGAGTTCCAGTGCACGGACGGTAGCCTGCCCAAGTACCGAGGCGGCGATTTCGATCGAGTGGTCGCGGTTTTGGCCGAGCAGTCAAGCTCCGTCACCATACAGGTGAGCTTGCACGAGTAAGAGTGACACACGCGCGCCTGCTGATCCACACCACTGTACAACTTGTGGCTGTTGTTGTAACTTGATGAGTGGCGCACAATATATACGTGCAACCGCACTAGAAACTTGGTACATATATATATATATATGTGCATGCAGGTGATGTATGTAAGTTTGATGGGTTGCTTGCACCACTCGAGCGCTTGATTACGTCGATTAGTTGCTCGGCGTGTGGCAGTAGATTGCCCCTTCGCGCCTGAGACGCTTGTTTACAGTGTACACTGGAAATTCAATGTTTACGTTGATTTGCTCCGGTTAAAAAAAAAAAAAAAAATTGTTTTTTTGTTTGAAAGGAGAAAAAGAGACAAGTTCCTTTTTTTTTACATTGCTCTCGCGCGTAAAAATAGTATTACGATCTTCATTGAATGCATTCGTTAGCATCAGAGCTTTTTTAACTTCATTAATCACGTATGAAACGTGTGATAAACGATGCTGACTATCATGCTGCAACTGATAAAATATGTATGCAAACAAACTTTGCTATTCGTATGGATGGTTTTACGTGGAGGCTCTCCTTCTTCCTCCCCAAAGGGTAGGGGTGGGCTCCGAACTGTCCAAACAGATGGATATTTTTTGTCCATCCATCCAGACTTGTGATCGTTCAGACCACTTGCAAGCAGATTATTTACTCGTGTGTTAAAAATAATAAATTGCTCACCATTTGATCAATAAATATCAATTATATGTATATACTTACTCCCCTTTAACCAGCGACCTAAACTTTCTTCCTCTCTTCGACAAGTGGAGTACGAAAATAAAACGCACCTTCTCGTGTTTGGATAACAATTTATCTCCACGTGGCTCACAGCGAGCACCGCATGTGGTCATCGACGGGCTTAATTACCCCTTTATATATTATATATATCTCACGTGGCTATGCAGCAGAAGAAGTTTCAATAGACTTGCACTTACCCCAATCTCGAGGCTGTATCGGGTATAGCTGATATCGTGTTCATATATACGCAACCGCACATCCTCCATTCCACCACCTCCGCTCGAACGCATTTTAACCGACATATAGGGTGTGTACAACCGTACACAGGGTGCGAGAGTTCACATACCACTCACTCCCCTTTCCTCCATACACTATGGGCTTACTTGCTTACTCCGAGATATCAGCTGTGGCTTGCCTCCCCCACAACCCCCCACCCCGTGTTGCAGTGCTGATGATTGCTTTCGAGAATTGGAGAGAAAGTGACGATGGATTAAATACCTTTTCCTTTTCTTTTTTTTTTTTTTTTATCATCAATTGACGGTTTTTTCTCGCAAGAGAGGCATAACTGCGTTGGGGGTGGCGATGATTTCTCAATTATCGCTTCTTGGTGTACCATCGGCCGCTTGTCTTTGCAACTACGCCTTTTCTCCTTTCTTTGAGTACGGCCCTCGCTCTCGGTTCATCAAAGTTACAGCCTGCGCACTTACAACCGAGAGACGATGAAGGGGAAAAAAAGCTCATTACACGAAAGCCGGAAGAGTGTAGGAACTCGATTTTCTTACCCTCCCTTTGGGCTCGAGCGCTTTTCAATCGGCACTTTTATGTACTTTCCTCCTGCGTGCGCCCCCCTCGTAGTCCCTGGCATTAACCGTTCCTCGGTACCTATACCTACGTCGTGCTCCCCCCACCAAAGTGCATACGGGTGAGAAGGACAAGGAGATATCTTATGTATATGTATATACATATAATTGAGCCAGGGACGAATCGGCAGGTGGCTGCGTTGCTGCGGATGTTCGCGATGCCGCAGATCTCGTACATGTCGACGACGCCATCGCTGAGCAGCAGAGACCGCTACCCGCATTTCTTCAGGACGGTGCCGAACGACGTCAACCAGGCGCACGCGATGCTCGAGATCCTCAGGTGCGTGTGTATAAATTTCTTTTTTTTTTTTTTTTCCTTTATCCCCTCGCGGTAGGGGGAGAGCGAGCGCCCGTCCCTCGGCACGTTTTTCATTTTCTCGGTGCGGTGTGCTTTTCTCCTTAGGTTTTTTACGTGGCCGAGAAACGGGTTCGTTCGACTGTTACGTGGGAGGGGGGGGGGGGGCTCCGATGCCGCTGTGGCTTTGTTTATTGCCCGAGTTCCGTTTGATGGTTGCTTTATGAGAAAATTTTACCTTACACGAGAGTACGGTAAGGGTACTTTTTCCTTTTTCCTTTTCTTCGGCCTTCACCCCGTATAATCATTTCTTCCTAAATGTTTCATCTTCTTCATTTTCTGGAAAAAAAATTCAAGTAATGCGGGTACTCGGTATTGTAAAATTGTTCCTTCTACCGTGAAGATTAAATTTTATTTTCCGCGCATCGACGAGGTAAACGAGCTAAAACTCGAAATTACAATCCTCCCGTGTGCTTTTCTACTTTTCGTGCAAGCTGGTAAAACATTTCAATTTTTTTTTTTTTTCTTTTTTCCTATCTGATTTTCGCACCTCGGTAAAACAGCATTATTAAATTATAAAAATGCAAACACCCTATTAATCCATCGACGAAATTACAATCGATGGAAAGCAGTAAATTGTCATTTTCGCATTCGTCATCGTTAAAGGCCGACGCTGCATGAACTACACCCCCCCCCTCCTCGATTGGATTACTCCATCTACCCCTGTACAATTTCCCTTCCAAAAAAAATCACATATCCTCGAGGTGCGCTTCAAAAGCACCAGCTCTTTTTTATTACTTCTTTTCTCTTAAACACGTATACCAAAACCAGACGAGAGAGAAGATACACACAAACACAAGCTCTGGAAACTCGTTTGTTGGCTTGTTTTTTTTTTTTTTTTTTTTTTTTGTTAATTTGTTTTGTGGGGTTTTACTTTCCCAGGGAGTACCGATGGACGTACGTGTCGCTCATCTACTCGAACACCGAGTACGGCGTCAACGGCTACGAGACCCTGCTCTCGTTGGCCAGCAGTTACAAGGTGTGCTTCACTTCGCCCCAGCGCGTCGACAAGGACGCCTTCGGGCCCCAAGACTACGACAAGGTGATCAACTTTATCCGAAAAAAGACCAACGTCAGAGGTATACAACATATATATATATATATATATATATATATATATATATCACATATAAATTATGTTGGTGCTATAGAGAACTACCTCGATAGGGGCTGCACGGGTATATATATTTCGAAGAACGGGAGGCGAGCGATCGGCTCGTCGGTGGACGGGATGAAAAACGTAGCGCTCCAAAGCTCGCTATCTGCTTGCATAAACTCGAGTTAAGAGATGAGCCATGAATACATTACGGTTGCCGAGGCGAAAACTGTGGGGACGGGGGTCATTGTGGGTATTATGTTGTATATATGCGGGAGAAGAAAAAACGTAAGAGTTTGAAGGGAATTTGGCTCCCGCGGGAACTCGGGATGTATTCCATATTTCGGTGCGGATAATCCGGGCGATGGGAAAGTCTTTGCATTCTTATGGTACACACCTTTGTTTACCCGTGGTATGCGTGAATACATAGTTTGTTGTTCTGTAAATAGTTTGTGTTTGGAATTTTGTTGTTTTCGTCCCCGAATTTCGACGGGGATTCGCGCGTTGTACATCAGCGCTGTTTGTTTTTTACAAACTGCTGTAGCGGATTATGTTTTTAATCGCGTAATAATTACATACCTACACAGAAAAGCTTTTGTAGCTTTTAGAAAGCTTTTTAACGGTACCTCCGGTTCGGACGTAAATAGAATACGAATTAGTTGACGCGTAAAGCTTTTCGGGGTTGAATAAATTTCTCCCTCCCATTTTTTTTTTACGGCTACAGCGGTACTTATATGCTTCGGAGTCATATCCAAGACGGGGTTATTTCCTCTTCGCTTCCGAATGTCAACGCGCTCGTGCGTGCCTAATTTGATTGCTGAACCTAGCGATGTTGAAATTGGCATAGCTGCAGACTTGGGCGCAATTATTTAGCGATCTTTGAAGCAAAAAGAAATTTTTCTTACCAAATTAAGTGTTTTCTTTTTTTTGAAAAATGTTTTAAAGCTTTCACTCTTTTTAAACATTTTTGTTGTTGTTTTTTCTATTAAAGTTAACAAATAACTTTACAGCAACCATAAAACTCGTACTTATTCTTACATGTAAAAATGTATTGCTTATTTTTGTAAACTAAAAATTAAAAAAAAAAAAAAAAAAAAAAGGAATCACCACTCGAAAAGACTGAGCGGATAGATGATTTTTTGAAAATATCGAATTACACCTTTTATAACGCACGTGGCCAAAAAAAAATGAATACATATACTTTCGCACGTATACAAAGCATCACCGGGTGATTAAAGTTTCAAAAGTAATAACACTTTGGTAAAGAAGCCTTGAGACGCGCGACATATTTTTTCTTCTGCCCCATCACGCTCTTTGAATATGTTTTGTAAACTTCGCTCTCGCATGAAATATACGTATTATCGATCACCTTCCAAATAAATTTGGCTCTCCAGCGTATCCCACTGAACAGTCTTTTACGGCCTACAGTGCAGGTACAACAATATATCCAAATTACAATCAACATTCCAGTCATATTGACTTTTGCTCTCAAGAGCCACACGCACACGAAGAAGAAATATCGATTCTTCCCTCCAACGCCAAATATAAATACATCGCGAAGGCGTTCCCCAAATAGAACTTAACGTCGTGATTATCGAGCGCACCCGCGATCGCAAGAATATGCCACGTAGAGGGTGATTCAAGCAATAATGTATGATGATAAAAACAAAACAAAAAAAAAAGTCGTAGTGCTGTTCGCCGAGAAGGTGTCGTCCCTGCGCGTGATGGACGCGGCTCGACGGCTAAAGCTCGGCTCGTACTTCGTGTGGATCGGCAGCGACGCGTGGTCGACCAACAACCGCCGCGACTTTTTGAACCCGCAGCCCAGCCGGCGAAAAGACCCGGACAAGCAGGTGGTGCTGGAGGGCGCCCTTGCGGTGCAGCCGCTCTCGCACAACGTGTTCGGCTTCGACGAGTACATCGGGAGCCTGGGTCTCGAGCACGAGGCCGTCGACCCGTGGTTCCGCGAGTTCTGGCACGAGTACCACAAGTGCGACGACACCAACCCCACCGTCGTGGACGAGGACTACGACGAGGTATGACACGTGTGTGTACTTCACCTCCCCCCCTCCTCATCAAATTTTTCGCGGCGATACAGGTGGAGGACAAGGTGGGCTGCTCGAGCGAGTCGGCGCCGAGGGTGTCCCAGGAGACGGGCTTCAAGCAGAACAAGTTCGCCCACTTTGTGCGGGATGCCGTGTACGCGGTGGCTAACGCGCTCCACAACCTGTACGTCGACAGGTGCGGCAGGGGCCATCGGGGCATGTGCCAAGCCATGCGGCACATCGACGGCAGTACCCTCATTGGTTATCTGGCCAATGTTACCTTCAAAGGTTCACCATTTTCTTTCAACGTCTCGGCTCTGGGGTTGCCAATGTATACATATACTGGTTCGTGAAGAAGAAGAAAAACAACGCATTTTTGGTCACTACTTTCGAACCGATGAGCCGATTCTAGCTCTTCCGAAAAACGAAAATAAAGCTTTTTTTTCTTCTTTACACATTATATTCCAGTAAATGAAAGAGGGGGAAAAAAACATTACGTAAATATCCGCTTACCTAACGTTTGCTGTGTTACCTACGTTACCTATGTCGTGTTGAAACGGCATTGGACTTTTTTTTTCGTTAATCGCAAAGCTTCCTCTCTGCGAGATATTAAAACTACGTTGATTTAGGAAGAGAAATTGCGAAAAGTGATATCAAGAAGAATTGGCACAGCAATTACCTAATTAGGATCATTAAATGAAAAAAAAAAGAAAAAATAATAATAATAATAAATAAATTTTTAATATCCGCAGACGAAGCGAACAACATGTTCAGATTCATAAACGGCACGGATGGTCCGCCGAGGTACACGATACTCAATTACCAGAGGAGCACCAACGGCTCCTACCACTGGCACGTCGTCGGCAACTACACGCGTGAGTCGACACGTATATAATATACGTTTCTTTTCTCTATACCTACTCCCTTGAAAATTTTCAATTTCGATTTAAATTTCCGAGCCAAAGACATAGATAGAAGGGGTTTTCATAAAAGTCGGCCATTATTAATACCCCGTACGCCCTCGATTTTTATCGAATCGCATGATACGAGCCAGCTCGCGCATGTGTTTTGCGAATATAACGACCCGTGCGCTCGTAAATCTCGGCTGACACACATGTATATATACATTTAACGAGACGGTGATAGAGGATACCTACGTCGGGGGCAAAAAATATATTTGTTCCGAGATAAGGAGGGGCTGGTCAGCGGGTATTACTGTACTGGGCAATCCTATGCTACATCTATATGTAAACGTATTTGATAGAGTTATGGGACTTTTTGATCGATGACGGGCAATTCGATATCGGACGGAAAAAATATTGTGGTAACAGTACTGGCTTCTACGTATACACGTATGAACGCGAGTCGTAATTTTTCCTCTTTCAACGACACGAGCGTCGTGTACGATTCATACCACGGATTTATGACGTTTTAGTTAACGTTACCACTTTTTATACTAACACGACGTATATGTACACCTAATTGTTCCCGATCATTAGAAGAGTTAACGGCAACCGTGGTACCAGAGCTTCTGTACGCTAATTTTGTAAATACACTCTTTCAATGAGAATAATTCCGCTGACCGTACCACACTGAAATTCCCCTCGAATCCAAACGCATTGCCTAAGAGTTTGCCCAAAAAAGCCTGAACAGCTTTTCGAGTGTACCCACCTCGCTTATTTCCCGGTTAATTAGCGCAAAAAAAAGAAAAAAAAAAAAAAAAAAAAGTATACGAATCCCGTACCCTTTCACCGTCCTCATAAAAGTCCTTTTAACTCCCTCCAACACAAACGAAAGGGGTGCCGGAGGGGTGGCAGTTCATTTTCTCATCAGTGGAAATGTTTAGAAAAGGAAGACGGCACGTCGAAACTCGTGCTGAACAAGGAGAAGCTAAAGTACCGTGGGACGGAGGTGAACGGTTTTCCAAGCTCGAGATGCCAAGAGCCGTGCAAGCCCACCCAGATAATGATCCGGGAAAAATTGGACACGTGTTGCGGGCACTGTCGCAACTGCGGCATCTACCAGTACAAGGTCGGCGAGCACACCTGCGAGGACTGCCCCCGGGGTTTCCGCCCGACAAAGGATAAGCTCAAGTGTTCGCCCATACCCGAGGAGTTTGTCGACCTCACCAGCCCATGGGCGCTCTCAGCTGTGGCTGCTGCTGTCGTTGGTGAGTTCTCCTCTACACTTTGACGGTTATTTACTGTACAGAAAGCTGGCAAATGTATAGTTTTTAATTAATTAAATCCAAGAAAATTATTCATTTTGGTGTATCGAAAACAAACAAAAAAAAAAAAAAAGTATGCGATGCACGTGATGAGTGTTTAATGCAACCGAGAGATGTGTACTCTGAACGTGTATTTATTGACCGTGAGTTTGCATGGCTTCTTTGTCTAAATTAGTACTGCTAATTAGTACGAAAATGAGGGGAAACATGAGAGCGAAAAAGTAAAACTAGCTCTCCGAAATTTATTTTTCCCCTTTGCCATTATTTGACGTATAGTTTTATGTTGGTTTTTTGTTAACGGTTAAAATTTTTAACGGTGAAAAAAAAAAGAGAAGGAAAGAAAGAAAAGTAAAACAGTACGTAATGTGACGAGGCAAAATTGCGTTTTCGTCGAAACCACGAGCCGTCAGAGTCGAACACGTGGCTCATCGAAAAAGTTGCGCTCGAGGGTGTGTCCGACGATAGGTACGAGAGCGCCACTTGGTGGTAACGTTTCGGGTAAAGTTTTCGGGTCCATCGCTCCCATTACCCTTATGGAAAAGTTGGAAAATTTAGGAGCAAAGTTTTTTCCCCCCTCCAACCTCCCCGGGAACCGCGAGTACCCGGGTCTGACTATACTCTGATGTTTCTACTTGAACTTCCTACTTGAATTCTAATGCGTTTCCCCGCCTCTCTCTCTCTCTCTCTCTCCGTTTCCAGTGATGAGAGATTAAACTACTTTGTCTCCCTTCTCCATCAAGGCAATACAATTACAACGCGAATACTAAATCATTTGCAAAAACGTTTAAGTGATTCTCGGATGTTTGTTTCCTTCATTTGTAAAAAAAAAAAAAAAAAAAAAAAAAAAAAAAAAAAAAAAAAANTATATATATATATATATATATATATCACATATAAATTATGTTGGTGCTATAGAGAACTACCTCGATAGGGGCTGCACGGGTATATATATTTCGAAGAACGGGAGGCGAGCGATCGGCTCGTCGGTGGACGGGATGAAAAACGTAGCGCTCCAAAGCTCGCTATCTGCTTGCATAAACTCGAGTTAAGAGATGAGCCATGAATACATTACGGTTGCCGAGGCGAAAACTGTGGGGACGGGGGTCATTGTGGGTATTATGTTGTATATATGCGGGAGAAGAAAAAACGTAAGAGTTTGAAGGGAATTTGGCTCCCGCGGGAACTCGGGATGTATTCCATATTTCGGTGCGGATAATCCGGGCGATGGGAAAGTCTTTGCATTCTTATGGTACACACCTTTGTTTACCCGTGGTATGCGTGAATACATAGTTTGTTGTTCTGTAAATAGTTTGTGTTTGGAATTTTGTTGTTTTCGTCCCCGAATTTCGACGGGGATTCGCGCGTTGTACATCAGCGCTGTTTGTTTTTTACAAACTGCTGTAGCGGATTATGTTTTTAATCGCGTAATAATTACATACCTACACAGAAAAGCTTTTGTAGCTTTTAGAAAGCTTTTTAACGGTACCTCCGGTTCGGACGTAAATAGAATACGAATTAGTTGACGCGTAAAGCTTTTCGGGGTTGAATAAATTTCTCCCTCCCATTTTTTTTTTACGGCTACAGCGGTACTTATATGCTTCGGAGTCATATCCAAGACGGGGTTATTTCCTCTTCGCTTCCGAATGTCAACGCGCTCGTGCGTGCCTAATTTGATTGCTGAACCTAGCGATGTTGAAATTGGCATAGCTGCAGACTTGGGCGCAATTATTTAGCGATCTTTGAAGCAAAAAGAAATTTTTCTTACCAAATTAAGTGTTTTCTTTTTTTTGAAAAATGTTTTAAAGCTTTCACTCTTTTTAAACATTTTTGTTGTTGTTTTTTCTATTAAAGTTAACAAATAACTTTACAGCAACCATAAAACTCGTACTTATTCTTACATGTAAAAATGTATTGCTTATTTTTGTAAACTAAAAATTAAAAAAAAAAAAAAAAAAAAACATGGATAGACCTAAGCCAATTCCATCCACCAGAAACCGCATCTGCGCCAACTTCCTGTTCCCCCCCGATTTTCCCCTCATCCTCCACCGATTCCCAATCGCGAATCCAGCCCGACTAATCCCACCTAATTTCCACAGGCATTCTACTAACGAGTTTCGCGCTGAGCGTGTTCTGGCTGTACCAAACCACGCCGATCATCAAAGCCGCGGGCCGGGAATTGTCGTACGTGCTGCTGTTTGGGACTTTTTCCTCGTTTCTCATGACGTTTGCCATTATACGGCAACCGGATTCGGAGACCTGTGCCATCACGAGGTTCGGCATCGGATTGTGCTGCACCCTTTGCTACGCGGCTCTCGTTACCAAGACCAACAGGATATACCGGATATTCAACAACGTGACCAACAGTCCCCGCAAGCCGAGGTAAGGATTTTCTCTTTATTTTCTTCTAGGTCCAAATTTTTCCTACATTGTCTCTATAATATAGACCAAACGGTGGTAAGAAGCCTAATGTCACGAGTTCACGAACAAGCTAGACCATCCCACCGTAATACAATATATATATGCATTGATAATCATATCGACAAGTACATACACAACACAAAATCAAACATTAATGAGCAATGGTAACGCATCCGCCGTAGGTTCACGAGTCCGGAGTCACAATTGCTGATAACGTTTCTGATAACATCACCCGAGCTTGCGATAAACGCCATCTGGCTGAAAAAAGCTCCGGCAGAGGTCGTCAACAGTTACCCAACGCGGGACAGAAATTACAAAATCTGCAAGGGATTCGACGACAGTTCTTACATGATCGGATTCATCTATCCGATATTTTTGACTTGTAAGCGCTTACGAATATTTTCGTTTTCTAAAAATAAAAGTAAAAAAAAGAAAAAAAAAAAGCTCGTCCTCGTCGTTTACAGTTTTATGCAGCCTCTACGCTGTGAAGACGCGCAAGTGTCCCGAGGGATTCAACGAGGCCCGTTACATAGCCTTCACCAATTACACGACGATGCTCTTGTGGATGGCCTTTGTTCCTTTGTATTTGTCGTCCACGAGCAACGCCATTCGAGCAGTGATGCTTGCCTTGTCTCTGTCGCTCGGTGCTTTCGTCCAATTGGCCTGTCTTTTTTTCCCAAAGATCTATATTGTGCTCAGAAAACCCGAGAAAAATACCAAACAGTTGGTAATGTCTACCCATCGGAACTCGTCGTATCTGCCGACATCGACCACGCCGATTGTTGCGACCGTGGAAAAGAGTAAGATCGAGTGTTAATCGGGTTTGGTTCATCAATTTTTATTGCCATTTAATGTCGCATCCAATTTAACTAGGCCATTTTTTTAAATTCATCGTGAGATTTTGTGTCCTTGAATAATAATAATTGAAGTTTAACATAAATAAATTAGTAGCTATTTCAAAATATAGAGAATATAATTTTATAAAATTACATATTAGAGACTCGGATTTTTCTACGTAATATTTTTCGTGAAACACTTAAAAACATTTATTTAAAATTTTTTAGCTTTATAACTTTTGTAAATAATTGTACAAAAAATCACTCAACATTATAAAAATTGTTGTGAATAAAAAAATTTTCGGTGGTTTATCTAGATGCTTATCACTTTTTCAATCAAACATGTACATAATTAGTTTTGGCATGCGGGAGGAATAATAAACAAATTCAGATTCGATTCTTAGTTATTTGTAAATATATTATTAAGTAACATCTATAATATAATAATGAAAAACCATATATATATTCATGGGTATCATTGTAATATCTTAATTCAATAATAAAACACTCAGTATGTATATTTTTTTTAGCTTCCACGCGTAACTACGCTCATTTCGTATTTTCCTTTATCAATTCATCAAAATGACCTCATCACAATACTTTGCCGCACCTCTGAATTTTGTATAGTTTCATACTTCTTATCCTCTATTTATACATATTTAATTTATACATTTACGTGAGATTTTTCTTTTTACAGTTTATTTATTTCCTCAACGATAAGCTGATACATAAAAAAATGTGCCATTTTTTTACCTTTTTTTTAATCACTTTTCTTATAAACTATATTATTTCTTTCAAGTTTTATTTCACTGGTTATACCGCTAGCTTCATCCAAATGCAAGCACATCTTTTTACAAAATGAGGATGAATTACCCCAGGTGAATTTTTATTTGACCAGAGACGGCAATACTCGTTGTGTTACGTTTGTTTTGTTTATTCTGATGAGGCTTTTAACGAAGTAAAACATTAGTTTATACATAAATAAGGACAGAACGTAATTATTTTATTTATAGGATTGAGAATTTCTCGATGTCTCGTTGGATTCCTTGTTTTGTGTAACTGTAAGACTGTTTTCAAATGAGATTCATCAAAACTTTAAAAGTAACTTCATATTGCGTACTCTCCATGATATTTTACACGTATCGATAAAAAAAGTAAAAAAGTCATAAACTGTGTTTTTGTCGCCTACAACACGCGTACGACATGGTACACTGTTCATTTTATGCGTGATACGGTGTATCAGTTTTTAAAAAATCTCCAACTAGATTTTACGGTTAATGTAGTGATGACAACTTCACAGTTATGCAATATGATCGATTTATTTATAATAAATAATATCTCATGGATTTAATATGCGTGTACAAGAAGTTTTTCGATTTTTAACTACATTTTGAACTCACTTTGTAAATAAAATAAACTTTCCTGTCCAGTATTAATATTCATTCACTCCTTAACAGTTTTTTAACCTAATTCTTTGGTCAAGTATAAGTAGTTTTATATAAAAAAATAAAATAATTGGATAATTTCAAGACCTAGTGTAATTTATTTCATTATTTTTTAAAATATGTATTTGAATTGGAAAAAGGCTAGAGTACAGTGTGTCGAGAATAAAAAAAATAAGCAGAATAAATAATAATGGACAGCACAGACAGTTCTGTTTTTTTATTGTTATATTTCACTATAATGTTACAAGAAACATTATTGAAAAAAGGTTAGCCACGTATCAAAAAAAAAAAAAAAAAGTAGTACTTACAAAAGAAACATTTGTTTGAGTACACGAAATTTAATTGTTTAATTGTACACTTAAAAATCTATCAAACTTCGTTATCAGTACTCTGGTACTACGGTCATGTGATAGATCTTTTTTATACTTCAGTATTATTTGTACAACAAAATTTTACAAGAATTTTTTTGTCATAATGCTACATAGCACGTTGACACTGTTTTCTTAAATTTATTACAATTTTTATTCAACGTACAGTATATCAACGAGTTTTCGGTACAACTACATTAATTTTCTAAATTTTAATATTTACAGAGATATTTTATTCTTCCCAAAACCACAAAGAGTTAAGCATTCATTTACATTATATGTACATGCTACAAAAATATAAGGTTAAAAAGCAAACTCAAATGGTAATCGCTCTCTAATTTACATATAATACTAACATTTTTATATTTAATAATAAATTGCAGTAATGAAACGTATATCACATTCAATAATCTTCAACTAACCAACATAATTTGTAATAACGTTAAAATATTTTATAGAAATATACTTTTAATCATAAGATCTACTTATATCTTTTGGAGGAATTTTTAAAATAACATCTTTTTCGCATTTCTGATGATATAGTGTCTACAAAAAATTGGGAAACAACTGTTAAACAATACTAAAGGTGGATAATCAGGAATAATTTATTTTCCAGCTCAACGTTTGTCTTCAGGATTCTTAGTGTAGTGAGGTTAATTTATCTTTAATCTATAATAATAGTTTGTAGTATCGTAGTAAACTCTACAAAACACTTTCTTACGAATCGATACCTTTAGTTGTTATCACTTCATCGTTCGAAAAAGACCGGCTTTTATTTAGTTAAAATACTTCAGACCAAAAATATTTATACGCTTTGTCGAATTCTTCCTCTAAAGTGCGGAGAAAATGTTTACCTTTTATTTTCAATATAGTGCAATTAAAATCAATGACCATCATAGAGTCACAGTTACGTAGTGGATCTTATTATTTTTAAAAAGAACCATTATCATCTATTAATTATTTTTATCATTTGTGAAAAGAAGATTTTCTTCTTCTTTTGAATAGTTTTAATTATTTTTTTTCATTTCGTTACAATTTGACTCTTTAATTACTTTAACTTGATACATACTAGTTATGTAATAATATATATCGATATGTCATTTCACTTTAGTGAATATAATATAATAATCTGCTTCTCAAATTCAAAGAAAGTAGTATTAGAACCTCAATTTTCATATAATTTTATACTTGTTTTCTTATAAAATGTCTTTCATGGACTATGAATTATGTACTAGTATAAGTTTTTCTTTGTATTCTGCATTAACAACTATTTATAAATAATCAATATCAACTATATGACTAGTTAGGTTTTAGTAGTGTTCGTTTAATTTTTTATTTTTCGTACATACAAAGCTTCAATAAAAATTAGTCTATCACATTTGTTTCTTAATGTACTAAAAAAATTTCTATACCCATACCGTTGAAAATTTTTTCGTTTGACTAACAACATTTAAATAATAGTATCACAAAATCATTTCCTGTAATTTATAAACAAACAGTTTTACAAGTTTCGATTTTCACAGCAAAAAAAAAAAAAAAATCACTCCAACTGCGATAACACAGGAATCGTCGTAAGTATACCTCAATAAAATTTGTCATACGAAGATCATTCCACTCTGTGGATTATAATGTCTAATCTTCCGTACATCTGTACAATGATTCATTGTACAATCAACAACACGAGGAATCAAATGTCTGATCTTGCGAATGTGGCAGAGTTAAAATTCAACGAAACATTCACATTTTCTTTCGAATCATTGATGGTATCACACCTTGCGACTAGCTAATACATCATTGGTTTTATTTTTAAGCTTTAAGAAGCTCAGCTGACACGATCTTTTGCTTAACTTTTAACCTAGCTGCAAACTCTTTGGCCCCAGCACCCTAATCCCTTATTTTTTATTTATTCATTTTTTATTTATTTATACAAGTCATCTTAAGGCACGTTCGCACCGATATCCTTCCTGTGGCCTTTTTATACAGCACGTTCCATATTTTCATCAACCTATGCACTCTTGCTTGCCATTGTATAATTTTTTGCACCTTTGATTACGTAAATGATATGTGCGCAGAGTACCGATTATATGCGTTTTACTTATCAGTTATTATGCATATCATCAAACTATGAGGAGGAAAATTTTTTTAAATATTTTAATTTAACGTATATTTCAGATGTGGCTACAATATTTTTTGCACGTAAACAAGCTAGAATAGCTATGTATATGGTAGCTTCCGATTTCTTTCAAGCCAATGCGAACGTACATAATAATGGATAAATAATTATTTTTTTGTTAATAATTTATCAACCCTGACATGTTTAGTTCTCTTTAAGAATATAAAAACGAAACAAAAAACGTTTGTTATCATTACAGGGACCAATGAACAACGTAGCTACACTTTGTAAAAATGATAAATTTATACATATTTGTATGATGAACAGTTTTCATAGAGAGATCGCGGCTTTTGATTGAAAATAAATATTCGATGCTATAGTTTGATTAAAACTCCATGATGGCACATCATGTATTATCTATGAAAAATCATAGTAATCATCCAATAGTCAGTTGTTAAAGTTCTACCATACTCGTATTATATATATATATATATGTGGTGTGGAAATCAAAGGACGAAGCCGCAAGCGAGACAAGAGGGGCGTCGGAACAAGAGAATCACGATTAAACCAAGTGCCCGCTAGCCCCTTCCTCCCTCGAAAATCCAGGGTTGATCCTCCCGAAAAAAAATCTGCCACATTCGCAAACAAATCCAGCTCCTAAGCGATTCCATCTGTTCCCGGTTCATCTCTCCTCCTTGCAAAGCAAAAGAAGATAATGAAATAAGAGACCAAGGAAACCATTTTTTTTTTCAACTTTGCTCTTGGAAAAAAAAAAAAAAAAAAATAAAA